CACGCACCCTCCTAGAGCCCTCGCCTATTTTTGACAGGCTGATTATCTACCAGCCAAAATAGCAGCGCCTGCTTCTGGGGACGAGTCACACACCGCAAATAGGGACCCGCAGTCACGGCCGGAGCTCTCCCCCCCACACCCTCCTGGAGCCCTCGCCTATTTTTGACAGGCTGATTATCTACCAGCCAAAATAGCAGCGCCTGCTTCTGGGGACGAGTCACACACCGCAAATAGGGACCCGCAGTCACGGCCGGAGCTCTCGGGTTTCTGCGGAGCCACCGTGATGCAGCATCGCCCGCGGGCCAGCAAAGCCTGCTCGCAGGTCACGCTGTGCCAGGAGCGTCATATCAGCCACCAGGGGGACAATCCCACCCATAAAGTAACATGTCACCCGCTGCCAGATGCTTCCCGCACTTTCTGGGCCCCAGACCCCCCTGCTTCCAGCCCACTGACCTGCTCCAGCCCCGCAGCCCCTCCCCTGTGCACCCTCAGCTGGTCTCACCAAGGGTTTGTGTCCCACCTGGGAAACAATGTCCTGCAAACGGGATGGGGTGCAAAGGGACCCTCCTGCCTGCACATGGAGGGGGGAATGAGCCACAGGCAAGGGGTGGAGGCAGAGAAGAGCTGGATGGAAGAGCCCTGCTCCCTGCCTGGGAACAACAGCAGCAGATTTTTGGCAGGGGCGGCTCGGGCGCCTGTTGCAAATAGGGACCCGCAGTCACGGCCGGAGCTCTCGGGTTTCTGCGGAGCCACCGTGATGCAGCATCGCCCGCGGGCCAGCAAAGCCTGCTCGCAGGTCACGCTGTGCCAGGAGCGTCACATCAGCCACCAGGGGGACAATCCCACCCATAAAGTAACATGTCACCCGCTGCCAGATGCTTCCCGCACTTTCTCGGCCCCAGACCCCCCTGCTTCCAGCCCACTGACCTGCTCCAGCCCCGCAGCCCCTCCCCTGTGCACCCTCAGCTGGTCTCACCAAGGGTTTGTGTCCCACCTGGGAAACAATGTCCTGCAAACGGGATGGGGTGCAAAGGGACCCTCCTGCCTGCACATGGAGGGGGGAATGAGCCACAGGCAAGGGGTGGAGGCAGAGAAGAGCTGGATGGAAGAGCCCTGCTCCCTGCCTGGGAACAACAGCAGCAGATTTTTGGCAGGGGCGGCTCGGGCGCCTGTTGGCAGGCTGAGGTGATGCTGCTAATTATAAGCCAGGGGAGCAGAGCTGCGAGACTAAGGGTAAAGGTATGTTGGGCACGACGTCATCCCGCCTCACCTCGTGGATGAGTAACAAGAATGAGCTGGAACGGGCTGGAAAGAGCTGAGCTCTTCTCTGGGCGATGACGTGATGCGCTGGATGAGGCCCCGCCTCCCGGGGAGGGCTATAAAAGCCGCGGGCGGCAGCACCGGGCACAGCGCTCAGAGACCTCTGGAAAGAGACAGCTGAGAGCAGCCGAAGCAGCAGCCGAAGCAGCAGCAGAAGCAGCAGCAAACATGCTTTGCCGGATGGCCCCCGCCCC